CGGCGGCCGCCAACGCCAGCGCCCCCGCGGGCTTCGTGCTCCTGGGCTTCTCGGCGCGCCCCGCGCTGGAGCCCGCGCTCCTCGCGCTGGTGGCGGGCTTCTACGGGGTGTCCCTCGCGGGCAACGCCGTCATCGCGCTGGTGTGCTGCGCGGACCCGCGCCTCCACACGCCCATGTACTTCTTCCTCGCCAACCTGTCCCTGCTGGACGTGACCTTCACCACCAGCATCGTCCCCCAGCTCCTGGCCCACCTCTGCGGCCGTCGGAAGACCATCAGCTACGCGGGCTGCGCGGCGCAGTTCTACATCTCGCACTGGCTGGGCGCCACCGAATGCGTCCTGCTGGCCGTCATGTCCTACGACCGCTACGCCGCCGTCTGCAGGCCGCTGCGCTGCGCCGCCCTCATGCACCCGCCGCTCTGCGTGGGCCTGGCCTGCCTGGCCTGGCTGGGCGGCCTCACCACCAGCCTGGTGGGCTCCACGCTCACATTGCTGCTGCCCCTGTGCGGGAACAACCGCATCGACCACTTCTTCTGCGAGATGCCCCTCATCCCGCAGCTGGCCTGCGTGGACACCAGCCTGAACGAGCTGGAGATGTACGTGGCCAGCTTCGTCTTCGTGGTGCTGCCGCTGGGGCTGATCCTCGTGTCCTACGGCCACATCGCCAGGGCCGTGCTGAGGATGAGGTCGGCCGAGGGCAGGAGAAAGGCCTTTAACACCTGCTCCTCGCACGTGGCCGTGGTGACGCTCTTCTACGGGAGCATCATCTTCATGTACCTGCGGCCCGCCAAGAGCGGCTCCCACGAGCAGGGCAAGTTCGTGGCGCTCTTCTACACGGTGGTCACGCCCGCGCTGAACCCGCTCATCTACACGCTGAGGAACAAGGACGTGAAGGGGGCGCTGGGCCGCCTGGCCCTAGGGGCCTGCGGCACCACGAGAACGCTGGCTAGAGAATAGCAGAGCTGCCGGTCACTGCCGAGGGGGAAGAGCGAAGCTGACACCAACAGTGACTCCGGGCGGCAGGAGGACCGCCGTGGAGTCCAGGGAGGACACTGTGCTCATGGACGTCCAGGCGTGAAGGGAACGTGCTTGTTTTCGCTTTTCATTAATAATCAAAACCTTAGCGAAACTGTGTTTACTGTGTATTATTATATGCATCACATATATGCGCACTGTCACTTTGTTAATACTGTCATGTCCGTGGGGGTTACATATATATCTATGTTAAGTTTTGTGTGACTTTCTTAATTGTTGATAATTTCTGCCGTGGCGTGTGCCCAGGCTGTGTGCAGCATTTTTATATTTCTCCATTGTGTACAGTGAGTCAGTCGGACAGACACGCGTGAGCCCACGGAGATTCGGTAACTGCAGGAGTAGTTACCACTAAACTGAGAGTGAAGTCGAGATGGGTCCACAGATGTGTGTACATTTTTATTCAACCCCTTCTGGTGCAGTTAGAAATACATATTTGGTCCTGGTTTTGGCACAGAACTCCTAAAGCCTGTACCTGCCAGAGGGACTGGGGTTGGGGTCTGCTCTTGTGCAGAACAAGTCCCCAAGCCACAGATGCGGATGCACTCCGGCGAATCAGGATCCCTCATTACAGGGCGTGAAGTGGAGAAAGCATCTTCCTGAGCTTCGCAGACATTCTGGCACCTGTCCATCCTGAGAGCCCATCCTGGGGGCACCCATGGCACCTCGCCCTGGGCTTTCCCTGGGGGCTGGGGGCATGCCGGACAGAGCCCGTGAACCTGCAGGGTCTGAAGTGAGCCCCACTTGGGTAGCATTAGAACAGAACTGACTTCTGAGAGACCCAGTTGCTGCTGTGGGAAACCCCATACATTTGTTACCAAGTGGGTTTTGATCAGAAACTCTTGTTCTCCTTGCATAGGGGGAGTCTCGGCTGTTGAAATAACTAGGATCTCATGACAAAGGGTGTCATCTGAGTACAGTTTAATCCAGAGAAAATCTCCCAAGATGTAGGCAGATTTAGGGACTCCACCAAGGGTATTATGGTAACTGGAATTAAAGCTAGGGAGGATGCAAGGGACACTACAGGACTTGGCCCAAACCAGGGGACACTCAGGACCTCAGGAAAGGAGGCGGAGAAAGGAGCAGCTTGATGACCTGAACATGGAGGGATCACTGCTAACAGGGGCTGCGGTCTTCAGGGAGGGACAGGCCAGCTGCAGCAGTCCTAGGATGGAAGGCAGGGAGCAGCACACTACCTGGCTCCCTGCACCCTGGATATCTCTTGCCAAGGCCACCCATTGGCCGAGCCCAATCACAACCAACTGCACATGGGCACGGGTGGGCACGGAGCACACAGACAGGAAAGTGGTGCCCGCTGGCATCATCACCAATGCACATGGAGCACATAGCTGGCAATGGTGACCCCCGGTGAAGTCCACACGGGTGACACACAGAGCTCGCAGGGGGGAAGCCCTGTCCCTGGTGGTGTCCACACAGGTGGGGCCCGGGACCCAGAGAAGGAGAGAGTGATCCTGGGGGAGTCTACAGTGAAGGGGCCCAGAGCACACAGATGGTGTGTGTGGGCCTGGTGGAGCCCCAGAGCAGAGATGGGCACCGTGGTCCCTTCTGGACACAGAGAAGACTGGTGACCAGTCAGTGAGCTGGGTGCAAGGAGAATGTGACAGAAGAGGGAAGGGCCACCTGACCCCAGCTCCAGCTGAGAAGAGGATGCCTGTGTGCCTGAGCATGACAGAGATCGGACAGCAGGAAGCAAGGTGTCAGAGATCCAGCACTCCAGGTCAGGGGGTTCTCACCCTGGATGAACGCTGAGTTTTACATTTTCAGGTTATTTGGCAGCAGGACAGCTCATAATAGGCCTTTCAGGGTGTGGTTTAAACATAGGATGCATGTTCAAGTTTAAATATTTATTGTGATAAAAGACACATTGCCATTAATCCTCCTCAGAACCCTCCCCTTGCCTCAAACACACTTATCCTGTTATTCCTGGCACTTGCTGAGGCAGCTGTGGAAGTCTTCCTTCATGTCTTTTGTTCACTTTCATTTTCATAGCTCTGTCCACATCCTGAATACAATCACAACATTTACCTTTCATGGTCATTTTGACCTTGGGAAGGAACCAGAAGTCACACAGTGCCAGGTCTGGTGAGTGGAGTGGATGAGGACACAGTGCCATGCTTTTAGAAGCTGCCTTTCCATTGGATGGCTCTTGGCTCTGGCATTCACTGTATCCTTGACAAACCGGATGAAGACACTCAAGAAAGAGGACTTCCAGAACCGCTTCAGAAAGTGGCACGAGTGATAGGATAGGCGTCTTCAAAGTGTGAGGGAGGATTTTGGAAGGTTAAAGGCAATGTGTATTTACTATAATAAATTTGAATGTAAACCTCACTCTATGTTTTGATCGCACCTTGTGTGTCTTTGAAGTTAGGCACAGAAATACAAACAGTCTCCTATGCCTGAGATTTCTTAGACTGTGATTGTATGGTTTTCTACTTTAGGCTTAGGTTTTCCATCTATTCTTTCTTGTGTGTGCACTTGTGTGTGCACACACGTGTGTTTTGAGAGAGTGAACACAACCCAGAGGTCTTGCAGGGGCCATGCACGATCAAGCGTGACTGATAAACACAGTGCACACCACTCATTAACTGTCCATTAACCCTTCACCTGCACTTCCGTGAACTGAGGTGGGACCATCTGATTTTCCACTTAGGCCCTGGAAAAGTTGCTTCATCCTTGCTCAGATCTTGTGATAACACACACACTGGGCTCTCACTCCCACTGCCCAAGGTTTCCTTCATTCAAGATCCAAAAATGTATGTCAGCAGAAATTCTATCTGGACCACACATGTTTAGTGAAGATCCTTGAGGAGATTATCAACACAAAAGCCTTTAAGATGGGAAAAGACCCTGTTATATTTTAGATCAAAATGTCCGCACTTGTATCTACTTGTCCCCTCAAAGCCTCATGCATGCATGGGGGAGCTTTTCAGAGGTGGCTGGGTCTGTGGAGTGTGTTTGTGGGACTGAGTGTGCAATAACTAAATTGGTTTAGTATAGCTCTGGGTGTGGATGACAGGAAGTTCTACCCTGAACGTGGGTGGCACCAGTCTAGGCTTTAAGCCTACATGGCATACCAAGGTGAAGATGAAAGGCAGGCTCACTGCTGCTGCCTCCTCCCTGCCCTGCCATGGGCTGTTTCTCCTCTGTGATGCTCCTCTGCCATGCCACCCTACCATGGAGCCAGCTGACTATGAACTGAAATTTCTACAAATTGTAGGCTAAAATAAACTTTTCCTCCTTTAACTTCTGAATGTTGGGTATTTTGTCCTAACAATGAGAAAATAACTAAGACATTCCCCAAAAGACCCACATTCAGAGGTGGGGCCTGGCTGGAGGTGGGTCACTAGGGCATGGCCTGAAAGGGTCTTCTCCCTCCCTGCTCATCTTTGACTCTCTGCTTTCTTGTCTTCATGATGTGTGTGAGCAGCTTTTCCTCTGCCCCCTACCATGATGTTTTTGCCTTGAAGCCACCAACCAAGGGCTGAAATCATGAATCAAAATAAACTCTGCTGAGGAGAGCCTTGGGCACCCCAAGACACAGGCCAGAAGGGCTGCAACCAGCAATGTCACAGGGGCAGGGCTGCCCAAGTCCTTTGGAGCTCACACCTTTCCACATTATGCACTAGGTATTGGACATGGAGATATAAGGTTTAATGTTTGTCCTGCTGGGTTCTGTACTTGCTTCACTCTGAACCTTTCTTATCTCCATATTTCTGCCTTCTGGAATGAGAATATTTACCCTGTGCCATTGAGTGTCACCAATGTTTAACATTCTTCTTAATTTTTTACAGAGCCTCACAGCTAAGAGTTTGCCTTGAGTCTCAGAGAAGACTTTGGACTTGAACTTTTCAGAAACGCTAGAACTCTTAAGACTTTGGCAACCGTTAGAGATGGACCTAGTGTATTTTGCATAATGAGATACACCAGACTCTTTTGGGACAGAATGTCATAGTCTACATCAAAAGCATTCAGAGGTGCACCCGGTCAGAAGGGGCACTGAAGGCAGGACTTGGAAGGGCATATTCTCTTCCCTTCTCTCTCTTGCTTCCTGGGCAACATGCCATGAGCAGCTTTTCCTCTGCTATGCCCTGCTGTGATGCTGTTTCTTCCTGGAAGCCGAGCAACCATGCACTTAACCTGTGAGCCAAATTAAACCTCTTTCTTTAAGTTGTAGGTGTCAGGTATTCTGCCCCAGTGATGGTGAACTGACTAAGACAGATTGTGCTAAGGGTTTATTTTGCTTTAGAAATCTTAGGGATATATTTAGAATATAACTATTGAATCAGCTACCTAATTCTGTATCTTCATTTAATGTCTATATTTATTTAATAGAAAATATGGATTTTTTTAGTAAAATACAGAGGATTTCATAAATGCCTCTTAAAGTCAATCCAATGACAAAATCTGAACTGAACATATAAGGATAGTATGTTCAGTACTGAATAGTATGTTAGTATGTTAAGTACTGAACATACTTCTTTCCTCAAACATACTCATCCTGTTTGAGGAAAAAAGTATGAAAACTGCATAATTTAAAAGGCTTGTTTCATGAAAAAAGGTAAATACCGGGCAGGGAGCATGGCTTAGTGGCAGAGCTCTTGCCTAGCACTTGTGAGGCCCTGGGTTCAGCCTTCAGCACTGCAACCAAGCAATCGATGTAAGCAAGCCAATTTCCTACATCCTTTTTGGAAGTTAGTGATTAAGTCTGTATTAGAATTATTCAAGTAAATGGAACTAAGAGGGAGAGAGAGAAAGAGAGAGACAGAGTGACTGAGATTTGAAGAGGTACAAGGATTTGGCCGCTCAGTTTTTGGACTGGCAAGTCAGAAACCCACAGGACAGGCTCAAGGCCAGGGGAGGAGGTGAGGCAGACCTGAGTGTAAAGCAGACCACAGAATCCCCCTTCCCTGGAGGCCTCTGTTTCTCTTTAGATGCTGACTAGGAGACGACCATAAACTGCTGTCTCTGGGGTCCTATGATTTGGCTGGGGTGCCGCTAAGTGGTGAGTGCTTGGTTAGCATGTGCATGGCCCGTGGTTCCATCCCTAGCACCACAAATACAACAGAATAAAACAGGGCCTGCCGATTTAAATGTTAACCTCATCCGAAAGTACCCCTTTGAAAGAAGGAGAAATT